TTTTATTAACAGATCCAAGATTAGTTTTTGTAGCCTCGGCTGGCCCTTCGGCCCCTGGCACGCTCGAACTTCCGGCCCTTGGAACGGACATAGGGTCTGTGGGGAAAGTAGGAGGGTTAGAGAAGCTAAGCTCAGTGGCCACTGGGACCCACTCCTGTACTGCTGGGACCCTCTTCTGAGAGCCTTCTTAGTAACCACCCACTCCTCAGAAGTGGCACAGGCCCTGGTTAGCCCATAGTTGTGACCATCCCCCACCCAGTGAACTCAACAGCCTAGTGGCCACTATGGTTAACCCCTACCAAAGGATAAGGCCCCATACTCACTTGGTGTGGCTGTGTGGGGTTCCTGGGGCCTTGCCAAAATGTCGGTACACCTCTCGGCCCTTCCGAGGACCAGACAGGAGCACAGTGCCTCGGCCCTTGGGAGACTCCAGAGCCAGCTGGTCAAAGGTGAGGATCTTACCCCCAGCCTTGAGGATGCGACTTCGGGCCCGGCTGCTCACCCGCAGTGCACACACCTGAGGAGACACACACCAGGAGCTGTGGGGACTGTCGCACACCCCCATGTAGGAGACTGATAAACAGCCGCCACTCAAATGTCTTCTGTGGATGGCAGACTCAATGCTTTCGGTCCAAAAGGAATCCAAAGCACCATTCTGCAGTGGTGAACAGGCTCACAAAACCACCAAAGAGCAGCTTTAATCACAGCTCCCATGGAAGGGTGCCACTGTCACACAGCAAAGCCTCCAGCTTAGTCAAGGACATATCCCCTGGCCCCATGCTGTTCACTTACCTTCAGCTTGGGCACTTCCAGAATCCGCACGTCATCTGTAACTGTCCCCACAACCACAGCGGTCTTGTTCTCCCGGCCAGGAAGCTTCATCTTTCGGATCTGACGGGGGCAAGCTGGTTAAGTCTTTCTGTGACCACACCAGTCACCCAGAACACTGAAATGTCCAAGATTTCCATCGGCTGAGACCAACCTCCCTTGTCCCCAGTGACAAGCCCCTGAGGGCTTGCCAGATCTCTCTGATTTGGATTCTTTCTCTCCAACCCCAGGAATGAACCAAGTCAGAGAAATCCCCAGGTAGAGAAAGACTAAGGGCTTGTCACTTGGGGAGGCAAAGTGGAGAGGCCAAAGCAGAGGTCTGTATCCTGTGCGGACCTCAACACCCCAGAACACGTGAAGTGCTACCCGCTACTAACCATCCGGGACAGGGACAGAGGTGGCCGGTTAGTGCGGCTCATAAATAACCTCTTCAGCACGACCTGATTGAAGGTGGAGTTGGTCCGTCTGGCCAGAAACCTGTACAGCTGGAAGGGAAAGTGGAAGATTGAGCATGTGACTGCCTCCCCCCAAAGCCAGGACCCTTCCACAGCTCTCACATCTTGCTCAACTCCTAGTGATGGGGGGCACTGTGTGTCCAAGTCCTTCCTCTCCCCACCCCACTCACCGTGGGAGTTGTAAAATGATGCAGTAGCCCGGGCTTACCTTGACTAGCAGCCGCAAGTAGATATCCTGGCTCTTGGGCTCCTTGCGCCGAACCTTTCGGTCCTTGTTGTGGCGAATGTCAACACCCTGTTGGAGGTGAAGTACTATGAAGCCAATTTTCAAACAAGTGCCCCATATCTTTGAATTTTTTTTTTTTTCGAGACAGGGTTTCTCTATATAGCCCTGGCTGTCCTGGAACTCACTCTGTAGACCAGGGTGGCCTCGAACTCAGAAATCCGCCTGCCTCTGCCTCCCAAGTGCTGGGATTAAAGGCGTGCGCCACCACCGCCCGGCGCCTTTGATGGTTTTTATACCTGTAGCTATTTCTTTCAGGCTACTTAGTCAACAATTCAAACCCAAAAGTATTCAAATTAGAGGGAGGGGACATTTTCCACCCATTGACAAATTCACTTAACACACACAAGTGAGACTTTTATCTGGGCTTGGAACCATTCCTCCCAGACTCCAGAAACTCATTGAAACGCTGTCTCAGAATAAAAGCTAAGATGCAGGAGACATGCTGCTAGCACAGTGTACCTTAGAGCACTTGCTTAGTATGTGAAGGCCCTGGGTTCTGGGCCCAGTATGGGACTTCAGATCCCTGCAAAAATATTAGGCTCTAATTATGTTCTCAAAACTAGCTCCCAATCTGGAAAGCAAAAGAAGCCAACAGTACATTCTAGACATGAAAATATGTTTGTGACAAAGCCAGACTCTTGCACTACCTACTTCAAAACAATCCTAGGAAGGCCAAACGGACGGGTTTATTTTATCCCCACTCATTTTCCAAGCTGTTAGCATCCAGAAGTTAGTGAAATACTAACTGGGGTTTCATTGCACCGTCAAGACCCTATGGCAGGCATCTTCATTAAAGTCTTCCCAACTCACAAGACATGGACAGAATTACTACACACCCTTCCGACTAATGACACTGGGAGCACTGTTTCGGGAAGCGCGGAGGGGGGGGGGGGACTGACGTCCGTCTGTCCCCAAACCCGGCAATGTGGAGCTTCACTCCTCACAGGTCTCAACCTCCCAAATGCAAGTTAAGAACCACGGAAACTGGGCGCTGGGATCCCGCCTGGAAAGATGTAGGCAAGGGAGCTGCCGTAGGTTCGAAGCCAGATTGCACTCACTACACTGGGAGTTAAAATAAGCCTGGATCACAGAGCCAAACTTTGTAAAGAAATCGACCAGCCTCCGGAGGCGCCTGAGGCCGGCCACCGGCACCGACAAGTCCCCGTCGAAGGCTCCAGCCTATGCCCCAGTCTCCCTTGGCACCGCCCGCACCCCTCCGCCGCGCTGCGACCCGGTCTCGCTGAGGATGGCAGCGGATGGATCACTCGCAAATGCCGCTAAGCGCGCTCACCATGATGGCGTCTCTTGCTCAGCCAGGTCCAGAAAGACGGAACCGCGCCGGAGTGGGCGGGGAAAGAGCGGCCTGCGAGACGCACCCGTGACGCAACACAGGACACTCTAGCCTGAACTGGTGTCTCTGTGGTGCCTTGGTGACGTCATATGGGCGCGACGCGGCGCTCTATCACAATTCGGTTTTCTCTATGGTGTGTTGGAGGACCGACTAAACCAAGGCTTCCAGAAGCAAAGAGAAACCAGCCTGAGGAAAGGGCCGGGACGCAGAGAGCCTCTCTAGCCTTTCCCAGTCCCTGTTCTCTATATTCTTCAGGGATAAAGGGACCTGAGAACGAGAGACATGCTTGGAGTTAGCCGGAGGAATTGCGTGGTGACTCTCTGGCCGCATGCCGGCCGCTTCTCGGTGGCTCGCGGAGGACCCGGTGGGCTGTGTGTTGGAGGTGAGGCTTGTCCGGGCCTGAAGAAAAAGCTAGTCTCACACTTCCGGCACTTCCTTAAATTCACGGCTGTCTTTTCCTTACGCTCAATTTACTAGACGGAACTGAAATTCCTACTAGCTCTCTCACCCGAGACTTTCTTGCTGCAATTCAACCCATTTTTTCAATATTTTGTGTTCAGCTTTTCCCCTGCCCTTAGATGACCTCTTTCTGGATCTCTCCTTTGTTTTCTTCCTTAGAGACAAGGCTTGTTTTTCTTTCCTACACCAGACTGGTTGAACTGGCCCAACATTTTCAATGTACATATTGATGTGCAGAGAAGGCACACAGAGCTCCCAGGCTGGAAAGGGGATAGATAACAAGCTCCTGAGAGACTGAAATAGAGGCCATGATGGTGGTTGGAGGTGTGGAGGCCTAAGGGGAGGAGGAAAAATGGTGAAGGAGGAAAAATGGTGAAGGAACCCTCGGCAGAAGGAGAGACAAAGATACAAAACTGAACAATTGGCACCTAGCCAGATAGTAAGCTAGTTCTAGTGCCAGCTCTGCCCACTCCCAACCCCCCTTAAGTCATGGTTTCACAAAGTTGCCCAGCCTGGCTTTGACTCACTCTTCCTGCTTCAGCCTCCGAAGTAGCTGGGATCACAGTCTTTCAACACTTGGCCTGGCTCTGCCATTTAAAATTGTGATCTTGGGTAAGTCATTTTCTATGTTTTTTTTTTTTTAACTTGTTTGGAAAAAGAAAGTGATAAAAAGACTCCCTGTTAGGGTGTCTTCCCTGACTGTAAGTGTCTTCAGGCAGCACTTTGGTACAGAGTGTTAGGTAGAATATATTACTTGAACGTGGGTAGGAAAGACAGATCATCTAGTTGGGAGATGCTGGCTCTGGGACACTGAGCCTGCAGTGTGCCCTCCTCTTCAGAACCCCTACCTGGAACTGCACGGTGAGTAAACAAGACTCTTTACCCAGGCCACCTCTACATGGCCTCCAGTTTGGGTGTTGGGCCCTGCTGTGACAGAGCAGAGGCCCAGGTGCCCACCAGACAGCTGATTCCAAGGGGCAATGGAACCTTCTGTAGGCTCTATCTACAGCAGTGGTTCTCAACCTGTGGGGCGGGGCCTTTTATAGAGTCACATGTCAGCCCTCCTGTATATCACATGCACAGTTCTTACAGTCATAGCAATGAAATAATTTATGTTTGGGGGTCACCACAACATGAGGAACTACATTAAAGGGTCACAGCATCACAGAGGTGAGAACCACTGTTCTGGAGTCTGTGGTTGTCCTACCATAGGTGAGCACATCTGCCAAGGCCCTTCTGCTGCTGGCCTCAGACTTCCCCTGGTGGCAAGATGAGTAGTCTTTTCCTCTCACAACCAGGCTGCTGAGGGCTATTCAGGGTGAGGTCACTCAGTTTGGTTGAGTTAGCATTTCCCCTTTCCTGTTCCTCTTTCTCTGCTGAAGTCTCAGCCCCTAGAGTTGGGGGTTTTCTTGGAGCTCAGTGGCTGTATCCTGGTTTCTGTATTTCACTGAGATCCCCTCATATGGCTTGGCATATTGTCTGGGGCAGATGCTGCTGTGGATCGGATGCAAGGTGTATCTGGCAATAAGCAGACTACATTCTCCACTTATTTTTCCTAAGAAGTGTTGCCGCTGTCTTATGTGAGTGTAGCTCAGTGTGAGCATGCTTTGTCCGGCGTGTGGGAGGTACATGTAGACACCAGTGCTTGCAGGCACACACCCACACACCAGATTGTCACTCCTGCTGCCCTTTCCTTGCCTGTCTCTGTCAACATCTTTTTTTTTCCTGGGCTCAGTTCCTTTCCAGCTCTGGGCTTCTAATGCTTTCCCTCCCCTATGCTTCTTTCTGGGGCTGTCTTGTCACATGGTGGTCTCCTGGGATGTTAATCTCTTTCTTCCTCCTCGAAGAATCAGTTTGTAAATCAATGAGCCTCCCTTCTGGTTCATTCCAGAATGGTCTCCACCTGTGTTGGTTGTTTTCTGGGGTTTGGCACAAGGTGTCATGTAACTGGCTATAAGCAACAGACGCAGATCCTGCACTTCCTGATGCTTCTGCCTCAGCCTCCATAGTTTTAAGATACCATCACCACTCACCTCAGTTTCTTTCTCTGCCTTGCTCTGTTACCAACGTTGGAGAGTTGGTTGAAGAACTCCTCACCCCTTTTTATTGACTCTTTTGGGAAGGGCCTGTTTTGACCTCAACAAAGATGGCGGGCTAAGCTTTGCCTTCCATCACATCCTTTCCTCTGCTGCGTGTTTGCCCTCACTTATAATGGGAGCTGCCTTCCTCGGCTGAAGCCCCGCCCAATTTCCGTCGTCAGCCGCCCGGCCCTGGCGCGCAGTTATGAAGGTGGATGCCTCCGCCCCCCTGCCCTCTCATTGGTGCGGCTCAGACTCGGTGCAACCATTGGCTGGAGGCACGCACACCCTTCCCCCACCCCTAATCTGATGGGGGCGGTAGTGCAGACTCTGGAGGGGCTGCCGGGACGACGCAGCGTGCACGCAGGTTGCGGGGTTCCGGGTGACCCCAGAGGGGCGGACACTCAGGCCCGGTGCGGAACACTGGGTGAAATCCGGATACCAGGTCCGGCCCTGGGATAGAGACTCAGACCTGGTGCTGCGATGCGGCCGTGGAGTGTTTGTACAGGCTAGGGAGATCGGGGACAAACGGCGGTCGGCTGGGAACCTGTGGGTGGGACTAAGATCTGGGGTCCTGAGAGACCGAGAGCCAGCCCGGGATGGAGCATTTATAAGGCTCTGTGCTGCTGTCTGATTTGAGGGCCTCATACGGGTCCCTACAGGTTTTAAGGGTGGGGCAGATAAATGGGCATTAAAGGAGCGGGCCAGAGCAAGGGGCAGAGGTAGATCCTGAGGGATAGTAGTCATGGGGGCGTGTCCCAGGCTGCTGTGAGCCTAGGAAAGGTGACAAATTTGCCAAAGGTGAGCAATTAGAAGGTTGGAGCCTTCTGCCAGCCGGAGAAGGGGCTCAGTCCAGGCTAACCCTCTTCCTGGAGAGAACTCGGCCAGACACCCAGGTTAGTGCTCCCAGTCAAACAGGCTGGTGGCCACTCCCTTGGGCTCCCATAGGTGGCTCCCGCTCTGACCTGTTTGTCATGTTCTTTCCCTTCTGTAACAGCAGGAAAGCAACAGGCTTTCTCCATTGGAGTGAGAAACTTTTAGGTTCCTCCTCCCCCGCTCTCCACAGGGTTTTTTTATCTGCATAGTCCTGGCTGTCCTGGAACTCACTCTGTACCCTAGGCAGTCCTCTAATTCAGAGATCCGCCTGCCTCTACCCCCTGAGTGCCTGGACTAAAGGTGTGAGCCACCACTGCCCAGCTCCTTTATTTTTTCAGCCTGTACCTCTGCAGCTGCTGTTTGCTCAGCGCTCCTCTGCTCCTCAGAGCTGTCCTTTCTTCTTGGTGCCTGTGTGTCTACATGGTTCTTCCCTCTCCACCTGGCAGTGACTCAGTGTGTGGGAGGGGACAGTGTCTTCCTGTTTCAGCCTATTTTCTCCTGCCTCTGTCGTCCAGTGTCTACCTCCCACAACCCTTTGCCCTCTAGTATAACACATTGGTCACTTTCTTTTTCTGACTGGCATGGGTTTTATTGTTGTTTTTTTGAAACAAGGTATCCCCTGGCTGGCCTCAAACTTGTGTTTTTGATTCCTAGTGCTGCCTGTATGCATTACTGTGCCTGACCTTCAGGGAATATTAGCCAGTTGTTGCAACAGTCCTGAATAATTTCATGCCTGGACACCAGCTGGCCCCATCTATGCTTTTCTGACTCTCTGGTACTCCTTTCCCACACTTTCACAGGTCTCTCCTGTCCCTCCACCTACCATGGGGATCACGGATTCTGACCATTGTCTTCCTCCCTACAGAGGCTGGACCAGGAGCTGACCACAAGCCAAAAGTCTAGGAGCACTTGAGACTGAACCAAGGTCATGGCCCCCCCACCCCCACTGCCAGTGGCCGCTAGCACTCCGATCCTGCACGGCGAGTTTGGTTCTTACCCAGCCCAAGGCCCACGGTTTGCCCTTACCCTCACGACACAAGCCCTCCACATACAGCGACTGCGCCCAAAGCCCGAAGCTCGGCCCCGAGATGGGCTAGTCCCTCTGGATGAGGTCTCAGGCTGTGGCACTCTGCAGAGCCGTAGCCCTGAAGACACTGCAGCCTACTTTTGCATCTACACCTACCCGCGGGGCCGGCGTGGGGGCCGGCGCAGGGCTACCCGTACCTTCCGGGCTGATGGGGCTGCCACTTACGTGGAGAATCGCGCAGAGGCCCAGCGTTGGGCAACTGCCCTCACATGTCTCCTCCGAGGAGTGCCTCTGTCTGGGGATCAGGGTGAGATGCAGAGCCATATGGGTGTTTCCATGTGTTCCTGTGTGTTTGTACTTTGTGTCTTTTTGGGTCTGTCTCAGAAGAATGGGACACAGCAGAAAGAAGCCCAGTGAGTGCCTCTGCTGTTGGGTCCACTGTCTGTCCCTCCCTTGATAGCTCTGGACAACAGCTGAGTAAGACTCCCAGGCGTGTGACAGCAGGAGGCTGAGAATGCCCATAGGTACAACACAGGTCTCTAGGACCTTCAGGCAGCTCAGAGGTGTCCTGTAGCTCCACTCTACACAGAGAGCAGGCTTTCCAGCAGAGCCCCCCTCACCCAGGGTGCCTGCCTCCTGTGTGAGCCTCACAGGATAGGAACCTGTTGCTGACTAACAGTGGTTCAGGGATATGTCTTCTTTTCCTACGTGGCACATACAGGTTCAAAGGGCACATACTTGCTTTTACAACCACCCCTTTGTCTTAGCACCAGTGAGAAAAAACTGGTCTGACCTCACTGGCCAGGTGACGGTAGGGAGGCAGAAACTCCCAGCAGCCCCTGGGTACCTACCTGCCCCTTACCTATCAAGTCGCGTTGGGACCCATTTACAGATACTGTTGCTAGGGAGGAGGCTGGATTTCCAGCCTCTGCAAGATTCAGCCCTTCCTTTCTTTCTCTGCTCTCATCTGCTTCAGAAATCACCCCTGAATTGCTGCCCCGGAAGCCTAGGCTGCTCCTATTGGTCAATCCTTTTGGGGGGCGGGGCCTGGCCTGGCAGCGCTGTATGGACCACGTGGTGCCCATGATATCTGAAGCTGGGCTATCCTTCAACCTCATACAGACAGGTAGGGCTGCTGGCAGTAGTGGTGGGAGGGATACTTCTGGATCTTCTAGAGGGTTTGACAGGATGAGGACGCTTCCTGACTAACCTTTTGATTTGCCCCTTAGAACGACAGAACCATGCTCGAGAGCTGGTACAGGGGTTGAGCCTGAGTGAGTGGGAAGGCATTGTCACTGTGTCTGGAGATGGGCTGCTTTATGAGGTAGAGCTACAGATACCCTAACCCTGCCCTGGGGGGAACTGAAGAAGGACGCCAGGACCCAGGCAGTCCTATCTCAACTGCAGGTGCTGAATGGGCTCCTTGATCGCCCAGATTGGGAAGATGCCGTGCGGATGCCCATTGGTGTCCTCCCCTGTGGTTCGGGCAATGCACTAGCTGGGGCGGTTAACCATCATGGCGGGTACGTTGACTACTGCTGACAGTTGTCCTCCCCTGTGGTTCGAGCAATGCACTAGCTGGGGCGGTTAACCATCATGGTGGGTATATTGACTACTGCTGAGACAGCCAGGGATACCTGCTAAAGAGAGGGATGATATCTTCTCATCATCCTGCACCCGCTACCCGTTACCCAAGAGCTAGATCTGTGCTGGTCCACAGAACATCTTCAGTCAGGGGTGTTTATGAGACCCTCCGGGATATGCTCCCTGATGACATAGCTGCTCCTGCCATCCTTCTTTTCCTCCTCTGTGTCTCACTCCCCATTGCTGTCTCCCACTGTGACACCTTTCTCTGATTGTGAAGGTTTGAACAGGCTGTCGGTGTTGACCTGTTGCTCAACTGCTCGCTTCTTCTCTGCCGGGGTGGCAGCCATCCTCTGGACCTGCTCTCTGTGACGCTAGCCTCAGGATCCCGCTGTTTTTCCTTTCTGTCAGTGGCCTGGGGATTCTTGTCAGACGTGGACATTCACAGTGAGCGCTTTAGAGCCCTGGGCAGCGCTCGATTCACGCTGGGTGCAGTGCTAGGCCTGGCCACGTTGCATACCTACCGTGGACGCCTCTCCTACCTCCCCGCTACCACAGAACCAGCCTTGCCCATCCCAGGCCACAGTCTGCCGCGAGCCAAGTCAGAACTAGCCTTGGCTCCAGCCCCGGCTCCAACTGCCTCCCACTCGCCTCTACATCGATCTGTGTCTGACCTGCCCTTGCCCCTTCCCCAGCCTGCCTTGGCATCCCCTGGCTCCCCTGAGCCCCTGCCTGACCTGTCTCTCAATGGTGGTGGTCCAGAGCTGACTGGAGACTGGGGGGGAGCTGGGGATGCACCTCTGTCCCCAGACCCACTGCTGCCTTCATCCCCTAATGCTCTCAAAACAACTCAGCTTTCACCCATCGCTGAAGGGCCCCCAGAAATGCCAGCATCCTCGGGGTTCTTGCCTCCCACCCACAGTGCTCCAGAAGCCTCTACCTGGGGCCCAGCGGACAACCTGCTCCCTCCCCTGGGCTCTCCACTGCCCCAAGACTGGGTGACAATAGAGGGAGAGTTTGTACTCATGTTGGCCATCTTGCCAAGCCACCTCTGCGCAGACCTGATGGCAGCCCCACACGCGCGCTTTGATGATGGCGTGGTGCACTTGTGTTGGGTGCGGAGTGGCATCTCACGGGCTGCACTTCTACGCATTTTGCTGGCCATGGAGCATGGAAACCATTTCAGCCTGGGTTGCCCACATCTGGGCTATGCTGCAGCACGTGCCTTTCGCCTTGAGCCACTCACGCCTCGTGGCCTGCTCACTGTAGACGGGGAGTTAGTGGAGTACGGGCCAATACAGGCGCAGGTGCATCCCAGCCTTGCCACGCTGCTCACTGGGCCTGCAGGTCAGAAGCCGCGAGCCTGAGCCTAAAGCATGCCAAGTTGGTGGAGCCAGAGCCCCATAGGCTAAGATCTATCTTTTATAGGTAAAAGTAGGGCCCGCACTCAGAACTGGATGGGTGAAGAGTGGTCCCAACCCTCAGTTCCCAAAGGACCTAGAGGCTTGAGGGTGGGGCCTGCCTTTCTTGATGTCCAGTGATGGGGCCTGGAATGTATGCGCTAGCAGGCTTCTTCAGCTTATTGTCCAGCCAGGGTTTCTTCTTGCCTACTCCGGTGCCTCTACTTGACTGGCCAATCAGCACTTGAGGGGCAGGTTCCCCCAGGTGGTCCCCAGATTTGCACTAATGTTCCTCCCCTGGCCAGTTAGGGGTGGGATGTTCTGTGTCTTGTGCGTCCCTAAGTCTAAAAAGCAATTGAAAAGGTCTATGCAATAAAGGTGTTGCTTTCCTCTAGACCTTCATCCTTCCACCTGACATCCCTTTCAGTTATTGTGGTCCTAAAATGATAGCAGTAGCAGCGCCCCGCTCGGATGCAGCCTTGAGTCAGAGCCAGTAGCTGCTTTGTCAGCCACAACAGCTGGCTCCCAGGTTCTCAAGATTTATTCAGGATTGTGTTCATGGAGGCGGTTGGATGTATGGGTTCCCCGACGTGCTAAGAGCACACACAGGACCCTCCCCACCCCCACAAGGGAGGTGGGGGAAGGCTAGCTTTTTCTTAAAAATATAAATGTATTTGCATCATGACGTTCCTGGGGCACCTAGCTGGCCAGACCATTGGCCATGGGACAAGGAGGAAGGAGGGTGTCAGGTGTAAGTCTGAGCAAGGAACAGGACTGTGCCCTGGCAGGGTGGAAGTGGCCTCACAGTGTCCCATGCTGGGCCTGGTAGCGTGAAAGCACAGCACGGTAGTGGGACAGCTCCTGCCGCACAGCCACCACCTCCTGCCGCAACAGGGCATTCTCCTTCTCCAGGAAGGCTGCCCGCACAGATATCTGGTTCTCCTTGAGTCTTCTTGCATCTCTTGACCTCTTGGCTGCTTCATTGTTCTTGTACCTCCGGCTCCAGTACTTCTCATCCTGCAGATGGAGGGGTAGAAGGGGCACTGAGATACAACAAGAAGAACTGTGTATCTGATTCTGTACAGCACTGAGGCCTAAGGACTATTGGTCTTGCTGGGATGGATACCCAAATGTCGGTTGTCTACTGCCCTGGTTGCTAAGAAGAGGCTCTGGCAGAAAAAGTCAGAGATAGATAGATTCCAGTTACACATATGAAAGAAGCTGATCTTCAATTTCTCCACTGTACAGACAGAGCAAGACTCCCCACTTGACAAGGACCCATGGAAAGCTGGTTGCTATGGATGTTTGTTACCTAGCAACGAGCCCTTCAGGGTCTGAGGGGCTTATTTCATTGAAGAGCACACTGCCCTAAACATCACCTTTCCAGATCCTGGTTGCTAAGGAAAGCTTAGATAGCTCCCCTGGTGATGGGGTTTGGTGTCCTGGTTGCCAAGGCAACCTCATCTCATCAGAAAGTAAACAGGAGCTGTAAGTAGTGGCAGTCTCTTTCCTTCCACCCTTGAACTGAGGTCAGGGAGCTGTCTGCACCCCCTCTCTCCGGTACCTGACTGATAGAAGAATTGGGAGCTGAGGCTTCCCCTAAGGATTATACCATGGGTCCTTCACCCAGCTGGAAAAGATGCTTCCCTGGGCTTCCTCTTAAAGGTTTCAGCCTGCTAGAACACATCCATTCCCTAGCAACAGCTGAGCTCTGTAGCAAGAAAAACCACTTGTATGGAATAGGTTTCTTGGATGAACTAGATGCTGGAATGGCTATGCTGCATACAAGGCCATGGCAAAGACATGAGAGACCCCAGTAACAGCAAAACCAGAACTCTAGAAAAATACACTTGCTGCTAAAATTCCCACAAATTAGAATATGACTGGTAAAGGATGACTTCCAGGCCCTAGGATGACGGTGTCTGCACCCAGGCAGAGGCAGATGTTTCAGGCTGAAAGCCAAAGACCAGCTCCAGCTAGGCCAACTGCTGAGAAGCAGGCTGATAGGACAGGCAATGAAAGCTGTATCTGGCAACAAAGCCTCTTGGAACTTGAGCCCTTGTCCACGGGGGAAGGGTGCTTATGGGTCCAAGTAATTGGAGGTCACAATGAATGACACCATCTTCGGGACTCTCGGGACAAAATTGGTTCTCAGAAGCCTCATGAACTAGGCTATGCCTATAGGCCACGAAGCTCTAAGACCTCCCGGTGGGAGCAGCTTCTCACAGCTTTGAGCAAGGCCACGCCCACACCTGGTCATGCTCACCTTCTGTTCCTCTGGCACCTGGACTTTCCTTGCCTTCTTCATGATTGGCTGAGGCTTCAGTTCCTCCTCTGAGAAGCGATGTCTCCGAGGGTCAAAAGTCTCATGGCCTGGAATGCTTGACAGGGCGAGATCAGCAGGATCAGGTTCAAAGGTCATTAGCACCTCCACGGTGTCTGGGTCCACGGGACTGGGTGTGTCCCTAGAGGTCACGCCTAGAGAAATATGTATCACTTGAATATGTGAGTAGTTTGGGGACTGCGTTCTCAGAGCACCCCCCCCCTTCCTCAATCTTATCCACCACAAGCTTTTCTGCTGTCTTAACACAAATCCTGTCAGGCATCAACCTTGTGACAAAGATGCTTAGCTACCGGAAGGCGATTCTATCATTATGAGTAAGGCAGATTCAGTGTTATTTTTGTTCCTACTGCCTTGTCTGAGTCCTACTTACTGAATCCTTGCTCAGATCTTAGACTCACTCCTAAGAGTGATGGAAGTTCCAGAAGCCTGGCTAAAAAAGGATGACTCCTGTGTCTTTAAGAACAAATAAGACAGGGCCAGCTGAGGACACCAGTTCAGGGCCGCATCACGTGTGGCCTACTGCTTCCCCTTTCCCCTCCTCCCCAACCAAGCACCCGCACGTTCCCGGCCCCGCCTCCTCGCGCGTGAGAGCGCGTGCGCGCAGCAAGGAGGGAGGACTCACGTGGCGAGGGAATGTGCCGCACTGGTTTTGCCTGGAGGTCGGATCAGGGACAGGTGTACCCAGGCGTCCCACATCGAGACTCCTTGTCTTGATAGGGATCGCCTCCCTTCTTGTTCCTTTTGGTCTCAGCTCCAACATCTACAATGATTCTGCCCACCCACCCCGCGCTATGGGGGGGGGTGTCGTGGGAGAACTGGACTGCCAAGCTCTTTGCTATCCAGATTCCCACAGTTCTGAGATCCTAGGTCCCCAATGCAGGAATATAGGGAGCTCCTCTGGAGAAGCCAGAATCAGGATCCCGACATTCTCTGCTGCAAGACTCTGGGAGGCAGGATGCAGCACCGTCCACTTGGGGGTCGGGGTGGGGGGACAAGATCCGGGAACTTAGCACCCCGTTTTGGCCTGCTCGCTCTCATTTTAGGTATCCTTGAAGTCCAGTCCTATCTCGTTTCCCAAAATTCTGGACCCAGACTCTTAAGTTAGTACTCTCCAGTCAACTAAGGTGTTCTGAGTTTCTAGACTTGGCTTCAGGAACATAAGGAGACTTTTGTCTTTGAGAAAAATACAGCCTCTCACTGAATAATCCTCTCGCATTTGGGGACCCAAGGCCCCTAAAGGATCACAGCATCCCATTGGGCAGACTTCCAAAAGTGTCGCGAGGCCCCTCCCCGCCCGTCAGCCCCGCCCCTTCGCCGCACCTGCGCGGTGGCCGCCGGCGGCTCCTAGAGTGGCCCGCGCGGGGGCGTGCCCGGGCGAGGAGCGGGGGGAAGAGGAGCTGCAAGAGCCGGGCCCGGGGGAGGGCGCGGGAGTGCGCGCTGGAGAGGGTGCCGGCGACAGGCCCGCGGGAGGCGGCGGGCTCGGCGGTAGCCCATGCTCCAGCAAGAAGGCGTCCAGGTCCACGTATTCCACGTCCCCGAAAGGCAAAGTGCGTTCCCACAGCAGCGGCGCAAAAAGACTCGGGCCAGCCACAGGCCCTGAGCGCCCCCGAGGGGACCCACCGCCACTAACCGCCCCAGGCGGGGCATCGGCTGGGCCCGCCGTTTCCAGGCCCGGTCCCGGGACGGGGGCTGAGGGCAGAGTTGCCTTGCGCTCCTTTTCCTTCAGGAGACCTGTAGGCCAGGGAGAGACCGGATGGGGTGGAGGGACACAGGAGGGACCCCAAGTCAGAGATATGGCGGAGATACAGAGAAATGAGGAGACGGGAGCCGAAGGGCAAAGACCCAGGGAGGTGGGTACAGGCAGGGAGAGAACCCGGAAAAAGAAGAGAGGGATAAAGACGGGGCTTGAGGAGACCCGGAGAGAGAAGGGAACAAGGTCCCAGCAATAGAGAGTGTCAGGAAGACGGGGACCCAGAGAGGGGGAAACGACAAAAGTGTACAGAAGGGTAGGGTTAGAGACCCAGGAGGTGATTAAGATACACAAGAAAGCGACCCAGAGAATGAGGATGGAAGTTTAGGAAGAAGGGTTTAGTGACAGGGAGGGTGAAAGGTTGGGCAGGTGAGAGAAAAGTGACAGCTCAGTAGTTTCCCCACCCCCAGCACCCTCATCCCCTCCCCCACAATCTGTTGGGGCTGGAAGGGGCTCCATTGCTCAGGCACATTCCTCGTCCTTAGTTTCCATGTGACCCCGTGAGGCCCCGCCCAAGCCCGTGTCTGCACCGTGTGAGCATCCGACACACCCCCTCCCTTCCCCTAGGACTCCAGGGGTCCAGACTCCGAGGCCAAAGGGAAGAAAGAGGGGTCTGGCGCCTAAACTCTGTCCTCATGGAGGAGCACTCCGGGGACTTGACCCTTAGGCCCTCCAGGGGTCAGATTTGATCCTGAAGGCTGAGGGATTAGAAGACCTAAGTGACAGAATGAAGACTAGCAAAGATGGGACACTTGGCTGATAGGTGCCGCGGACCACCACCCCAACAGTTGAGTCCCTAACACAGTGGGTCAAGAACTCACAGCTGGCCGGTTCTTTGGGTTTGCTGTTTCCCTGCAGAAGGCTCCTCAGCCCAAGCAGCGCTCCCCCGCCAGGGGGTGCCCCAGCCGGGCCACCCAGCAGCAGGGGGCCCGGGGTCCTGTCGCTCAGAGGCCGCGCCATTGCCGGGCACCTGCTCCCAGGTTCATGAGCTCATGGAGAGTCGAAGAGATGAGATGAGATGTCAGTCACCCGCACACTCCTGAGGTTCGGGCGAATGTGTCTCAGAGTCAGGCGAGAGCGGCGTGCAAACCTCCAGTATCAGAAAGCTAAGAGCGCTGCGGGGGTTCAACCAGTCTGTTCTGCAGAAAGGTGCAACTCAGAGAGTGTCCCGGGAGGCTCCTATAGTCTGGGCGAGTGGGTGACCAAATCAAGCAGCTGTCTCTTTGCAACTGTGGGTCCCCAAGGGACACAGGCGCGCGCTCCTTCTGTACCAGGTGGGCGAGACTCTGGCTCTAGCCAATTTTGCACTTCTCCCAAAGAAAGGAGCTTTGCAATCTGCACCCAGAGGTGTGCACCCAGGGGCGGAGGAGGGGGCAGGAGGAGGCGGCAGCCTTGAGGCGTGGCCAAAGCAAACTTCTTTCGCGGAAAAAAAAATCCAAACCAAAACACTCGACGCCAGAGCGCGCGCCCCTCCTCCGGGTCCCCTCCCTCCTCTTGGGCCATGCACCCCAGCCGCGTGCCTCCCTCCGGCTGCTAGCAAGAGCCAATCACATCCCGAGCCCTTGAGACGCTCAGCCAATGAGATGAAGGGATCTGCCAAGGCCCTGGAGGCGCGTGAGGGGCTGAACTTGTGGAATTGCCTCGCCTTTTGGAAGAAGGCGGGACACTGACCTACATTTGGCCAATGGGAGGAGGCGCTGGAGGCGGGACCGTGACCCACTTCGAGCCAATGAGGCAGGAAGAAGGGGGAAGCACATGGCTCTGCGCGTGCTACCGGATGCGGGTGTGGGACAGGAGGGGTACCTTTTAAAGGAGCCGTGTGTTCAAACAAAAAACAAAATTGAGGGAAAAAAACCCACTAATTACAGCAGGTTAAGGCAGAAAGAAGTGAGCTTCGGGAAGGATTATTTTTTAATATCTAGATATTTCTCAATCGCGACTGATAATCAAACCACCGAGAAACCGGAAACATTCAGTCCCTTTAATAGCTTTGTTTTGGGGTGAATCTCCTCCCCTGGTGAGGAAACTCAGAACAGGCAGGCGTAATCCTCGTTAGGGAGCCTCAGCGACCATGAGGACCACCGTCCACTGCAAATGAAAGCACCGGCTTGAGGGGGGGTGGGAGCTGAGCGCATAGGACTCTACTACAGTCGGGCTGCTAAGGGGGAACGGAATATACCAAGTTGGGGAAAATGGTCAGCTCCTGGACCAGACCATATAGGGAGGGAAGAAGGCCACTTGGGACGTGCAGATTAGGCTGGTTTGCATAAAGGTAGTAGTACACGAAGAGGATGTGGTCATCTGGGCTGTACCATGTTGAGAAACCAGAGAAGAGACCAACAGATTTCCCCGGGCAGAACCACAGTGGCAGTAGGGAAGACAGGGATTGTACCACGCTGATTCTCAGAAAGGGGATAGCTGTTAAGACTATAGCCCTAAGTAGGATCATACCATTTGTAAACAGGTGACTTGGACCGTACCATTTTGGGAAGTGACAGGAGGCAGAGGGCATGGACCAGTATGCAATTGTACCACAAGGAAAACAGAGGGTGTCAGGCCTTATACTAAGCTGCGAAGAGGGGTGGGTTGTACCACGCTGTTCCATATGGAGAGGTGAGAAAGGATGAGGGATGTGTCACACTGAGACACCACTGGGAATAAGTGCAGACTATCAAGACGTGGAGAAGGAGGGTACACATTAAGCATACCATGCAGGCGGTAGTTGGGGCCTCGGCAGCGCCTCTCGGGGTGCCGGGGGTCCCTGTTGCCCCTCAAGGCTCTGTGGGCCAGGGGCTGCAAGGGCCGGCCATTACCACTGAGGCTCTGGAAGATCTGGGAAGGGGGATTCTGGCTCAGGAGTCTCAGGGAGTGCATCTGCCTCAAGAGAAACCACGGGTGAGTGGAAAGGGATGGTGCTCAGGGTAGGGGTAGCATGCACACATAGAGGTCAGTCACCTGGAGGGAGGTAATATTGAGAGCCCTGTCGATGAGGATCCAGGTGACAGTCTCAGAGCAGGGAGGAGTGCTGAGAGATCCCTGATAGGTGATGAAGCCGAAGGATTCTGGGAACAGGAGCTCCAGGCTCAGATCTTGAAGAAAGTAGGCATCATCTGTGCAGATATCAAGCCAATGTGAAAGGGTGTCCCTTGGGAGCCCACATGTGTACAACTAATACATAGGGACTTAGTTATTTTTGTTATGATATGGACACTGAACCTATGGCTTCAGGCATGCTAGGCTGGTGCCACTGAGCTAGGCCCCCAGCCCTCACTGGGGGATTCTGACAAGGCACGAATCACCAAGCCACATCTCCGGCCAGTCTTCCCTTTCTGTCTTCACACTGGATCTTGCTAAGTAGCCCAGGCTGTCCTTGAACTCACTCTGTAGCCCTAGCTGGTCTTGTCACCCTCCTTCCTCAGCCTCCCTAGTAGCTGGGACTCCACCCCTAGCTTGGGGACTTACTTTTGTAAGAGATTCGGGTGATAGTGTCCCGGTTGAGGAGGCGACTGAGGAATGGGTTGGAGCTGCCAGCCACCTACACAGGAGGCACGAGGCAAGGAAGACAGCAGCCCAGGGCTCCACAAAGACCCACCACCCCAGGCTAGCCTCCCTGCCTCCCTTTTCCCTCACACCCTGGAAGCCAGTTGCCCATCTTGCCTCCCTCACATTGACAAAGAGGCTGAGAATGGCCAGGCCGTTGGGGCCTCTTGAGGCAGCACTGAGGTTCCCATAGAGTTCTTGGTTGAAGTGAATTAGCTGCACCTGGGGAGTGGGAGGAAGCACAGAGAAGGGTTTCTTAGCAGAAGGGACAGAGGATGGATGGTTTCAGGCCTTCGGTGTCCAGAATTGCAGCAGGGATTAGTACTTAGGGTAGGGAGAAGCAGACCTGAGTAGCAGCATGGGGTGAAGCCTTAAGCTAAGGAACCAGGGTGATCGATCGGTGTGGAGAGTCAGATTGGGGTCCCCACCTCAGCAGAGAAGCCTTGGTGGTTGATCTGGTGTTCAGAGCCAGCACCATCCCGGGCACCAAACAGAAGTCGCAGCTCACTGAGTCGGTGGCTATAAAGAAGGGGACCCCCAGACACGTTGACCACAGGTCGGGATGCGGGTAGGAAAGAGACATGGCGACCAGTGTTGTACAAGGTTCCCCGGAGCTGCAGGAGAGGTATAAGGATTGGGGGGCACGGAGAAGAACCTCTCCCATCCCCCACTTGTCTTATTCCCAGAGTCCAACGATTTTCTGCTATAGCTTGAGCATCAGTCACTCCCCAGGCGCAGACAGTATCTTCTGAGGTTCTCAACACTGATGAATTAATTCAGTCAACAAGACTGAACCAGGAGTGCTGTTTCAGCCTTGTAATCCCATCCCCGAAGAAGCTGAGGCAGGAGGATTGCTATGAGTTCAAGTCCAAACAGGGCTATAGAGTGAGAGTTTTTTGTTTTGTTTTGTTTAAAACAAACAAACAACCCCAAAACAGAACAAGACAAACACATAATGGCCTGCGATCTAGCTCAGTGAGAGAAGTGCTTGCTTGCTGTGTAAACCTACTGATCTGAACGCAACCCCTGGAACCCACCTCATGGCAGGAGAAAACATACCCCAAAATTATCCTCTGACGTTCTCATGTGCCCCTCCCCCACATCATACACAGCGGTATTTTGAGGCTTTTTAAAAAATAAAATAAAAATATTAAGTTGCTACGATCTTCAGTTGAACACTAAAATAAAGCAGCGAGCGGAGAGAGGAGATGTGGGAATGGTGAAGATATGGTAAGATATGGCTGCTTAGTGATGACACCTGAGCTCAACGGGGAGGACCAGAGACTGGTGACATGGTATAATGGGAGGACCAGCTTAGACTGGAGACGTCAGGGAAGACATCCCTGAGGAGGTAACATTTGAATGATGGAAGGATAAACAGTGGGTAACGGTATTCCAGGAAGAGGGAAGGGCTTGGGCAGAGGCCCTGAGCGCCCGGTGGGACTGGATGGTATCTAGTGAACAAATAAAGACTAAATAGCACTCCCGGGCCGTGATGCGAGGTTTCGTGGGCAGATATGGGGATTCGCTATAATTTACTTTCTTGTTGGTTTTTTGAGACAGGCTGGCTTTGAACCATCCCTCCCACTGCCTCAACCACCTGGGTAGCTGGGATAATGGTGTACTCCACAAGAGGGCTGGGGGCTTTGGTTTGATGGACTGCAGGATATAGAGCTGAAGACCTCGCAGGAGGACTGGATGAGGGTGGACAATGGAGGGGCAGGAAGTAAAGAGGACAAGAGTAATACTCCCTGCGAGTCTAGTGAGAAAGCCGGTCTGAGGGACTGAGGACAGCCTAGAAAATGACTCTGAGGTTTTTGGCTCATAGCGCCAGAGCTTCTACAGAAAGGGTACTGCAGAGAGTAGTGTCCTTAGGATAGACACTGAGGCGCCCACATCACTTGGTCAGATGGCTGTGTGACCCCAGGCAAGTAACATCAACTCTCTGGGGCGTAAAAGAAGGCTAATAACATAGTACCTATTTTGTAGGTTATTGTGAAGATTAGTGGATTCATTTAGCCTTTTCAAATGCTTGGCATGAGTTGTCTTCTGTTTTCACTGCTTGGATAAACACGGGAAGTTGAGGAAAGCAGTGGGAAAGGGCAGGGCAGGTGATCTTCAGAGAGTAAAGAGCATTCTCTCCATCTTGCAAGTGCTTTTTATTCCCCGAAGTTCACCATCCGCCTCAGCACAGGTTCCCTCTGTTTAGACCCACCACACTGCAAAGCTCCTTACCTTCTCTCCCCCCGTGCTGAGCCTGAGCGGGGGCAGAAAGGGGTCATAAAGAACCCGTTTCAGCTCCACATCCACAGGGCTCTGCCGCTTCCCCACAGCGCACAGGCTCCAGGCAGCGTTCACCAGGCCCCAGAAGGGAGGCCCTGTGGGAACAGAAATAGGCTGGATTCCAGGCAGGACCTGCTGTGTAGGTTGGGGCAGGGATAACCCCAGCTGAAGGAAGAAAGAGGGAGGAAATCTGGAGCTTTGGGTCCAAGAGAGAAAGGACGTGACAGCCAGAATTCTGATTCCTAGAAGATTTTTAGAATCCTTTCCTAGGAGCTCATAACACCTCTAAGCCTTCCCTATATTTGTCCCCATCTTTAAAAGGGCTATGTAAAAACAGAACTACAACTCCCAGTAGGCCTCGGAGGTGAAACCAACTCATCAATCTCCCGTCTGCCCCGTAGCCCCATGGGAGTTGTAGTTCTTTTCGTCTCCCAGGTCCCACAGCTGGATAAGAATATTAGGGGAGAAGAGTTACAAAAGAGGACTTCGAAGCCCCTGGCGAGGGGGCGGGACAGGGACCTGAGCTACCGAGTCTGTGCCTTCCAGCAGGAATAGAACCTGTCTATGGCTGCAAACACACACATTTCTCCACCCCCACACTTTCCTTGCACTCACTCCCACTCACTACTTGAAATGCGCATGTATAATGTCCCATGGTGAGCCGCTGAGGTTAGAGGCTGGGCCCCACTCCTGAGGGAAGAAGGCAGGGGCTGGGAGCATTGGTCCTGTGGAAGATGAGAGGACCGAAGACCCAGACTCCCGAACCTGGGGAAAACGGCGCCTAGGGATATGGGGTCGGACTCTGGGTCCCCACCCTGTTTGCACCTGGCACGAAGTTTCCCTGGAGATTCTCCTTGTAGCTCCACCAGTCCTCGGGATCAGGTGCAGGTCCGATGTAAGCTGGGAAGAGAGCAGCTGCATCCCTCTCCTAGGCACCCCACCCCGCCCTTCCCTCAGAGGATGCTACCAGGACCCCCAGGTCTTACCTGCCGCTCCCAGTGCGGCCCAGAGTACCAGCGCTTGAGGGGCGCTCAGGCGAGCGGCACCCCCCATCCAAGAGGCCTCGGAGCAACCCTTTCCCAGCGCCCGACCCCCTAGCTCTCCCCTCCCCTCCTCCTGGGACTTCCAGCCTGGCTGTCCCCAGAAGGGGAGCCCCAGCTCCCGAGATGCAGGGGCTGGCACCGTGCACCCCTGAGCCCGTTTGACGCTCACTCTTCCACCCGCCTGGGCCCGCGCCCTGCACTCTCTCTACCTCCCGAAGCTGCGATCGCCCTCGCCGGCCCCGGGTCCCTCTCGGTGCCAATGCACACCCCCTCTTCGCTCTTAACCAGCGAACCCGGCCGCGCACCCGCCGCGTGCGCTCCTCTCCCTCTGCCTCCTCCCTCACCCTGCCTTCTCTTCTTCCCTCTGTCCTCTTCCTCCTCCCTATTCGACTCTGCCTTCCCTTCTTCCTTCTATCTCACCTCCTCCCTCGCCCTGCGCTGCCTCTCCTTCTTTCCATCTCCACCTCCTCTCTTCTTCCCCACCCCCTCCTTCATCACCTCTGGTCCTGCTTCCCTCTTCCCCACCCACTTGCTCTCATGGTTTGATGTTTGGCTGGGGGGGGGGGGTGTCTCCGCAGTAGAAAGAGCTGCACCCCTGAGCCCAGCCCTGGAAAGGGAGGTGCAGTGCAGCAGACGAAGCCCAAGACCCCCAGTTCCAGGTGTCCAGGCTAAAAAGGGCTGGGCACTAGGGGCCTGGCATGCAGAAAACCTGCTGGCCAGGACAGGGAGGCAGAGGCTCGGGGGAACTGGAGGGTGAGAAGGCTGGGGGTGAGCTGATGCTGGGAAGGAGAGAGCACTAAAGGGGAGGGGGGAGCAAGATGTCAAGTAGCAGGGAAAGACAGAAATAGACACAGGGAGACCTTATGGTCAGAACCAGGCAAGGAGAGACAAATACAGAGACACATACAGAGTCACAGAGACACAGAGAGAGATGTGCTTAGAGACAAGCGAGCAAGATGCTATGCAGAAAGGAAAAAGAGACAGAGAGAGAGACTAAAAAAACCATGATGTCAGGTCATAGGAAAAGAGACAAAGACATAACTACATAGACCAAGCATGGTGATCCACACTTTCAATCCCAGCATTCAGGAGGCTGATGTGAAGCCATCCTATGCTACTTAGTAAGACAAACAAACAAAACAACTAACAGAGAACAAGAATGAATAAGTCACAGAAGGACAGGGAGGTGGAGAGAGGCAAGCACCAAGAAACACATTAGAGATAGATGCAGGGAGAGCCACCCTCAGGGTTAGAGAAGCCAGCTGAGCCAGCAAGGACAGACAGAGGCGAATGGCAGATACAGAGACACATAGGGAGACACTTAGGGACAGGAGAGAGAGGGAGGGAGGGAGGGAGGGAGGGAGAGAAAAAGAGAGAAAGAGAAAGAAAGGGAGAGGGAGAGAGAGAGAGAGAGAGAGAGAGAGAGAGAGAGAGAGAGAGAGCATTCATTCAAGCAGGAAATGGAGGGCAGACAGATACACAGACACCAAGTATAAAAGGACTGAGAAAGAGAGAAAGAGACCTGGCATCTCACACCAGGGACCCTATATACAGAGTCACTCATGCACAGAGCAAAGCCAAAGGAAGGAAACCCAGGCAAAGGAGAGGGCCCAGTCACAGACCAAATGACTTAAGGTCAGAGGGAGGCAGGCAGATGTGGTGTGTTGGATAAACTCATGTTGGAGACCACCATGTCTCCAAAAGCAAGACAACACAGGGAAGGAGGACAGGGAGCACACAGGGAAGAGAGAGGGAGCACATCCATGAGGGCGCTGGCAGAAGGATCTGGCTGTGGGGGCTTCTCTCGGCCCCGAAGCTGCCCACAGTGTGGGGTCAGCATCAGTCCCGTCCCACAGATAGAGTTAGGCGTCAGAGGAGCAACACGTACTGCAGTGGACCGACGAGTGTCCACTCTGATGTTAAAACAAGGCATACCCTGGAACCCAGGAGTGGGTTTTATTTGACACAGCTCTTAAGCTTGTGTGATTAAGGTGTTGTTTGGTTTCTCCCCATTATTGAGGATGAACTCAAGACTTTATTTATGCTAGGCAAGCACTCTATAGCTGAGCCATGCCCCCACCCCTCTCTTGGGGATTCTGGGTACATGCTTTACTGTCAAGCCAGGCCCCTAGGCCCTGACCTGGAAATTCTAGATTAGCAGTCTACAGAGAAGGTACATCATCAGACCTCCTGTAACTTTTTCTTTTCACAGATTCTCACTGTGTAGCTCAGACTGAACTTGAACTCATTCTAGTTCAGGGAAGTCTTGAACTTTCCATCCTCCGTGTTCAGTGTAGATGGGATGGCAATCCTGCATCACCATGCTGAGGTATCATTTAAGATGAAATCACTCTTCGTTATTAGTATGGATCGACACCAAAGAATAACTACCCTTAACAGCCAAGACAGGAAAATTTAAGACAGAAGCCTGGGGGGTGCTGAGATGGCTCAGTGGTTAAGAGCACTGACTGCTCTTCCAGAGGTCCTAAGTTCAATTCCCAGCGACTACATGGTGGCTCACAACCATCTGTAATGGGATCCGATGCCCTCTTCTGGTGTGTCTGAAGACGGCTACAATGTATTCATAGAAAACAAATAAATAACTTAAAAAAAAAAAAAAGGCCAGGCGGTGTGGTGGCCCATGCCTTTAATCCCAGCACTTGGGGGAGGCAGAGGCAGGCGAATTTCTGAGTTCGAGGCCAGCCTGGTCTACAGAGTGAGTTCCAGGACAGCCACGGCTACACAGAGAAACCCTGTCTCGAAAAACCAAAAAAAAAAAAAAAAAAAAAAAAAAAAGACAGAAGCCTGTGAAGACAGGGCAGATACAGCAATTAGACGGCCACAAGCCAGGGGTCATAGGTAGCCCCCAAATTCTGGAAGAGGCAGGATGACGCTTTGTAACACCTTAGTGAGGCCCTACCAACACCCCAACTTTCAATTTTAAATTCTAGAATGTGAGGTTGCCCGTTCCTTTAATCTCAGCACCCCAGAAGTAGAGGCAAGCTATCTCTGAGTTTGAGTTAGCCTACTCTACAGAGTGAGTTCTAGGATAGCCAGGGCTAAACAGAGAAACCCTGTCTCAAAAAATCCAAAGCCAACAAAACAAAAGAAAAACAATTCTAGAATGTGAGATGAGTGTCTGTTTTCTTAAGCCATATAGTACAGTGAAAAATAGTGTTTTGAGATAAGGTCTCCCTGTATAGTCCAGGCTGGCCTCCAGCTCTAACTACAGCCTTTCCTGCCCCAGCCTTCCAAGTGCTGAGATTACAGGAGTACTACAGACCTTGCTCGAATCTCTCTGCTACCTCAGGCCTTTAACCTCTGGCCTTTTGTTGTTGTTTCCGAGATAGGGTCTCTGGTAGCCTAGGCTATCCTCTAACTCATTATGTAGCTGGAAAGGAACTTTCTGATCCTTCTGGTTTGTGACTCTTCAATGCTGGGTTGACAGGCATGTCACTGCACCTCGTTTACAGTGGCTTGCTGGGGACCAAACCCAGAGCCACATGCACAGTATGCAAGCACTCTATGAGTTGAGCTCCAACCCAGCCTGTTTCTGGATCTTTCTAAAAACGTTTCACTCCATCTGCAGCTCCCTTTCTCCCCTTTCTCCCCTTTCTTGTGGACAAATTCTGACAAGAACAAACGCAGACATCAGGAGATGCCCCACCATAATGAAGTCATTTGGCTATGCTGGTGAGGTGGACAGAATCTGTCTCCTTTGAGGTCTGGTGGCCACCTGTGCCACCCCTGTTACTGTGCAGACAGGCAGGGCTGATGCCTGGAGGGAGGGAAGGGAAGGGCCTGGTCGGCAAGTGGTACAGATGTGGATTTCACACCAATTTGCTTCGGCTGCTAGAAACAAAGTTTGAGTCACAAGGAGCACATACGGCTCACCCTGCTCTGGGCTTTCATCTCCTACACACAGGCTCTGGGGTGGGAGGCAGCAAAGCCAGGGCTCCGCTAGCTTGGGTGGTTCCCACAGCCCCTGGGAACTTCCTTAACCCTCTCTCCCTGGCCCCAACACCCACTACCTCGGCATCCTAGCAAGATTCTCCCCATCAGAGTACTCACAAAGGGAGGGAGGCCTCTGGGCTTTCAAATAGTAACAGGAAACTCACAGGGTGCTGCCCTGGGCCAGGCCTGTTCTGAAGCCTTAATGTAGATTAATAGGTTTCCGCTTCAGACTGCACTTGTTAGATAATCCCTGGACCCCTAATCCTTTACCTCCTAAGTGCTGAGAAGTGGGCCACCATGGCTCTAGTCTATGTTTCAAGACTAGGTGATATTCGAAGCCTCCCCTCCTCCATCAGAATAATGAAGTATCTAAATGCCAAACTTTCTGGATCTGAGACTACTGGGCAGGCACCTTTGTCAAATGTCTTACCTTTCCCAGCCGTACCTAGCCTTCCGGTTAATCATCCAGCAACACACTCTAACTAGAACCCAGTGACTCCACTGGAGTCCTTTCACTTCCAGATACATTGGCCACTTTCTCCCAGGTAACTTGTTTAGAACTTAAGCCTGGCACATCAAGCCCTCTTTTGGTTGCCTTAGAAAGATTCTTCCAACAAGGATGGGGAAATCTGTAGACACAATTCCACAAGACATGAGCCTTTATTGTGACAAATAACCTTTAAGGCTCACAGGCCAAAGCAGTCACTTCCCGTCCCAAAAGCCTGCTTGAAACTTCCTGCCTTTTGCTAAATGTCGCTCGCGCCCACGTGGCAGAGGCACATGTGGAGTGGCTTCATGGGCACTGCAGCTTCTGATCGGCTCTGGGGACTCACACCTGAGACGGTAGCTCACTTTAGTTCCTAGGCCCAGGGCTCCGTGTGGGTGACAGCAGGTCTCGGCAGGCGCCACCGCGCTCCTTCTGTTGCAGCCGCCGCAGAGGCCCGGCCCAACGTGGCCTCCAGGGCAGCGCGAGGCCATGGCGGTTGAGAACGAGGCGGGCGGGGTCGGCGTGGTCCTCCGCAGCACTGCCCAGCAGCAGGTAGTCAGAGCCAGGGCGCAGGCGCAGGCAG